AGGTTAAGCGTGCTTCCGGCTTTTGTGGAGGACCTGAGGCATAGACCAACCGCTCTCTGTGAGTTTAAGGCCAGTCTCGTCTATATAGAGAGTTACAGGCCAGTCAAGATTACACTTGATACCACATTGGGGAAAAAATTACCAACTACATGTGATGGTGCACACCTGTAATTCCAGCACCCAGGAGACAGAGACAGGAGGATCACTGTGAGTTCGAGGACTGCTTGGTCTGCAGAGCAAGTTCTGGGCCAGCCTGGTTTAAAATTTTAAAAATTAAACACTATTGAGACACCAAGTGAGCTTGAGTGTTGACAGAGAAATGAGAAGCCATCTAATTCAGCCAGTGAGAGTGGGTATTTGCTTTAACCGCCTGTCAATGCATGAGAAGGTGCATTGTAAGCCCAGTTCCAAAGCAAACTCCTCTTTGGAAATTGGCTTGGTCTCGTACCTCTTTCCGACTGAAAACGACCCTCTCTCTAGTGAGCAACCATTGGTGGTAGTTTCACATGTTAGGTTTACGAAGGACAATTTCTCTTCTTTTTCTGCTATGCTTAATATTCTTACCAAAGCTTAGAAGTGAGCACATTACACTGTACACAAAGGGGCACCTAACATAGATTGTACCACAAAGAAACTCTGTTAACGATGTGCGGAAATCAGGTGGGGGTGGAGGGAAAGAAGGAAAACAGAGAGCAGTAGATGGTACCCATCTTCTGGATGTGTTGTCCTGAATGTGTTTTTATATTATCTTTTCAGTGTGCTTCTCTTTTGTTGTTTGGAGACAGTTTCTCTGTGTAGCTCTGGCTGTTCTGGAACTCTCTTTGTAGACCAGCCTGGTCTCAAATTCAGAGATCCGCCTGCCTCTGCCTCCCAAGTGCTGGGATTAAAGGTGTGCGCCATCACTGCTGGGCTTCCACTTTCTATTTATGTAGCCCAGCCTGGGTTTGGACTTAAGGTTCTCCTACATTAGGCTCCTGAGTGCTGGTATTTCAGGCCCAGGCTGCCACGCTTAACTCTTCTTTAGCGGAAGGCTGAGGTTGGGAACTATGAAGGATGGGCAGCAAGAAGAGCTAGCTGAGTTTGTGATAGTAACTTTTTTTTAAAGCTTTTTATTTATTTTTGTGTCTGTGTATGAGCCTGCCTGAATATGTATGTACCATGTGCATGAAGTGCCTGTGGATCCCCGGAGCCACTGTGAGCACTCTTAACCCCTAGTCCTAGCTCCGGCCCAGTACCTGGTGTTTTATGAACACTGGTGCTTTAGATGCTATATGAATTTGTTATAACAAAACCAGAAATAGCAGCAACTGAACACGCTTTCCTGCTTTCTCTCAGAAATGGGGTCCCTGCACAATCATCCTGCCGCCCAATCCCCTGGTGATAGACCGGATCACTCGTGTGCAAATCCCTTTGTGTTAACTGGCACTATGAGACCACACCACTGCCTTCAGCACGTCAACGGAAAGTCAAATCTGAAGTAGCAGGGCCAACCCAGATAAAGGACGTGGGTACAGCGCAACAAGAAGCAGGCCTAGACAGGAACAGGGCACCAGGCACCACACGGGGGTGCTCTGTTGTGATGGGGAGAATCCCAGTGCAGGCGCGTTAATTAGGAAGAACAGGCAGGTCCAACGTCCATTGCTGCTGGGCGTCTGAGCTGGTGGCTCCTGGCCAGGAATGTATAGCCGACTGGAAGCCCAGAGGGGTGCGGATGACCAGAAGGTACCGTCCCCAGCTGAGGCCAGGCTTCCCAGCTGCCCAATGACTCGCGAGATGGGGACGGGGAGGGGAAGTCTGGTAGGGCTTCACAAAGCGAAGAGGAAATTCTTTACCCTAAGTCATTTTCTAGCGCCATTTCTAGCAGGAAGACACTTTGCGAGACCTCAACCCAGGCAACAAGAGGCCACGAGATGGCAGCAGAGGACGCAACCCGAGGCTTAAAATTCAAGCCAAAAACAGGTCGAGAAAAGGAAAAGAATTCACTTGGGAACTATCGTCAGTTGTATTCAGTGTATTCAAAGTCAGAATAAACGACTGAATTTCAAAGAGATGAGAGTAACATTCACCAGAATGGGTTCCCCCACCCCAACTCTCACAGGCTTAAGATGCATATGAAGCCACCCAACATGAACTCTCTCTTCAATGGAGAGAGAATGGGGTGGGGGTCACGACCTTTAAAAACTGACGTCAGCAGGAGCCTAGTCACAATCTCTTTTTGTTAAGTTCTGATTCAAACAAAATGGGTGACCTCCATAGAGGCTGCCAGATCGGTGCAGACAGAGTGGTCATAGGAGCATGGGAGCAATGCGGCAAGCGGTTCCAGAGCAGCCAGGGACTCTGGCCAGTGGTGTAGAGGGCGAAACTTAACAGCCAGAAGAGGAGCCGTGGCAACCTCCTGGTTTCTATGCTAACGCACCTGCCACATTCCCTTACCACCCCACCCTCAGCTGAACATCAAAAATCTCTTCAAATATGTAAAATATCCCCAGCAGGCAAAAACGACCTTTTCCTGAAAAGCAGTGCACTAGAGGGGTAACTTCATGTTTAACCCCTCCAACACACGGCTATTCACAGGAGCTACACACACCATGTTGTACACCCCAAACCAGAATTCTTTTTGTTGTTGTTGGTGGTGGTTTTTGACTTTTCAAGACAGGTTCTCCCTGTGTAGCCCCGGCTGTCCTAGAACTCGCTCTGTGGATCAAACTGGTATCGAACTCACAGTGATCCTCCTACCTCTGTCTCCTGTGTGTGGAGATTTAAATCAAATTCTTGTATTATTTGCACAATGCAGAAACTGGCATTGAAATCTACAGATCTACAGGCTGAATTTGACCACTGAACTAAAAACTATGTCATTATTAATATCTTAAAATTAGAGTATTTTACAAAGTCAAAATTTCTGAACTTCAAAATGGAAGTCATGGCAGTAGCTGGAGGTGTGTACACACCCCCATCCACACTTGGAGTGTGCACCGCTGAGTTCCCTCCAGCCCTGTCATCTCCCCTATCACCTTCTTACACAATGCATTTTTGTCCTCTCAAGTGCCTCATAGTTTTAAAGTACTTTTCCCTGTCTGACTCTACTTTAGCCTTATGCTTCAGCAAAATAAGGAGAAATAAGATAGAATGGCTATGTGAACAAAGTATAGTTCAGGCAGATTTTACTTGCCCAACCAACAAACCAGAATCCAGGTTTTCCTGACACCCAGTCTTGTTTTTTTTCCCATCAAGAATTTCACAGGGAAGTCACTGAAGTAAACAAGCAGGAATGGGTGTAACTGCTAATAGACAAATTCCAGCTATTTAGCAAATCAAGATTCAAATTCCAAACCTTTTCTTTCAATTAGTTCTGCTTCCCCTCATTTCCTACATTACCTTTTCCATGAAATTGAGTGTGGTTTTATGATTTGCTTTGACCCATAAGCTGTGATGGAAGTTACCATGGAGCACTGCAGAATTCATGAATTCAGGCTTTTTCACCTGTTGGTAAGGGGGTGGGGTGGGAGAACTTCATGGTGACACGTCGTATGAGGACCCTACTGCGGCTTGGTTGGGCATGGTGGCATATATGCCTGTAATTATCGCACTCACAAACTTGTGGATCAAATGGGAGTTCGAGGCCGGCCTGGTCTACAAAGCAAGTTCCAGCTTCAGCATCGCAGGGATTTTAATAATTTACAATGAACAAAGCCCCTTGCCAGTTACTTTGGACAATAAACGAGAAACAAAACCACTGAGGTCTTGGCTCTGAGCATTCAGCATTGTAAAAAACCCATGTGCACGGTCACTGAACATCTCTTAAGATACAGAATGCAATTTCCAGGTTTCCGATCACAACAGAAACAGCTGGAAGACAACAAATTGCTGGTTTCCCCCCATAGTTTCTTTGGTCACTAGGTCCTGACTTTGAAGAAAGATCTTCTTTTCAGAGCCCTTCATTCCTGCAGTTTGATTGGGGGAGAGAAAAAATGGGGGAGGCCCAGATTGGGTTCTCTCCATTCCAGAGCCTGATCCCAGAGCTGTCTCCACCCACTAATACTCACACGTAACTTTGTCATAGGGCGACTATTACCACTCCCAAGGTGTCACAAACAGAAAGGATCTGCCGCTGGCGCCACTGCAATGTCAAGGCAAGCCAGCCAGGCTGCGCTCTAGCCTCACTGTACCTGGGCTTGCCTGAGCCCGGAGAAGCAGCATTCTCTAGGGAAAGAAGCCTTCTCAAGTGGGAGCAAAAATGATGTGAGACGAACACCCATCCCGGGCACTATGTGAATTTGGGGTGAGTTCTCTTAGGCCTAGCTAATTTCTACTTTTTAGCAGCGACTAAGCTGCCCCTGGTGTTATCGGGATCCACCATTTTCCTGGGCTTTCTCCCCAGACCATCCGAGCCTGTCATCTTTGTACACTTGCAGAGGTCACAAGTGGTGTGGGCTCAGTGCAACCAGAGCTTCTGCGACCGCACGGCAGCAGGGATCAAAGGCCCGCCGGGGCCGGCAGAGAGCCCGAGCCTGCGCAGTCCCGCTCCCGCCTTGCAAAGGGTGGTGGCCACGCGGGCTCGGTCGACCAGCGTGCTCGCTCAGAGGCGGGAAAGCCCTAGGTCGGTACCCCCCGCCTGCCCAGCCAGCCCGTCCTCTCCAGCGCCCGGTCCGGGGGGGAGGGGGCGAGGAGGGCCGGCGCCTCTGACTCATCATCTCCAACCCCCTTCTCGCGCGCGCTCCAAGTCTCAGGACTTTGAACCTGGGCACCGGCGCGAGGGGCGCGGCGGCAGCACCTGGGGAAGCGCGGCTCTGCCCGGCGCCGACCCCCAGCCTCAGCCAGTGTGGGCAGCTGCGGGCAGGAGGGCTGGAGACCCCCAGCCGGCTGCGGCTGTCCGGCCGCGGTGGCGGCCCCGCTGTGCGCGGCGGCCCGCCCGGTTCCTCCCTGCACTCGGGGCCAGTGGTCGCGTCCGAGGAAACTCGGCTAGGCCCTGCTCCAGGCGCCTCGCGTCACTCAGCAGATGCACAGCGCCCCCGCCGCCGAGGGAAGGCTCTTTATTTTCCAGTAGGTCACGGGGTAGCGGGGCATCCTGGGAATTGTAGTCTCCAGTGACTTAGCAGGACCCGGATCCAAGGGAGACCCGGAGCACAACCGACGCGGATTCTGGGTTGGCGGGTGCAGCAGCTGGGCTCGGAGTGGATGGGATTGTGAAAGGTGAACAGACGGAAACAGTGAGATGAGGCAGATGTGAATCTGGATGGAGAGGCAGGGAGGAAGGAGGCCAAGAATGCAAGGGAGGAAGCAGCTTGACTAGAAACAAGGTGACAAGATCTTCCTCGAGTGGGAAAGAGAAGAGAGCTGGGCCTGGTTTGAGGAAAAACTGAGGGCACTCCTGTGGGCTTCACGCACATCTTTGGGGAGTTCAGTTCTAGTCCGAGGGAGGGGCACGACGCGAAAGTGCCAGGAGAATGCCCCCTTTGGTGGAGGAGGGCAGTGGCCACTCATTCATCTGTTCTGTTTCGGGTGCTAGCCACCATGGGACCATCCTCCAAACCGGAAACCTCCTCCATCTCAGAGAGACCCTGAAAACAGATGTGAGCAAATTTTAGGGTCGAGAAAGGCAAAACTCCAGGTGGAAGCAGAACCCTCCCAGCTTCTCGAGTCTTTCCAATAATACATTAAGGCCTCCTACTAACGTTTGCACACTCGTGTAGTCCCAATCATTAAATACCCAGTTCCTTCACAACCGTTATTAGGGGCATTAACGTCCAATGCCAGAAAGCCGGTCAGCGTCAGCCCTTCATTTCCCTACTGCCCCACTACAAGGACAGCCAGAAGAAAAATTAGCTGGAAGCTGGCGGCTTCATGTTTTCCTCCCTCACCCCCTACCTCCGGTAGCTCCTGGTAGTGCAGACTTGACCTCGTGAAGCATCCTTGCTTCCTCTGGCTCAGCAAGAACAGGGCGTATGTTGAGACCAGCACTCCTCCTAGGGTGAAGGCCTCCACGCTGAGTTCTAGCACCAGCAACCCTGTCAGCTGCAGGTAGCAGGGTGAGGATGCTTTGGGGGGTACAGTCCGTTTTCTTCCACCATTTCTCCTCCCTTGTACCTTTCTCTTTATTCACCTGTTCCTGGGTGGGGCCAGTAGGGGCAGGCCCCAAGGCTGTCTTCGTCACTTCTATCACCACCACGATGAAGCCCAAGATCAGGTTGAAGGTGTTGGATATCATCATGGCCCGCACCTACCAGTGAGCCAACTCAGCCCTGCCCAGCCTAGGGGATTCATTCCGAGCTTAAACTCCACCTATACCCTAGCTGAAAACAAAACTCAGAGGCAGGACTGGTGGTGGTGGCATAGGCCTGTAATCTAGAAGTCTCAGGCAGGAGGATTCAAAGTTCAAGGTCTCACTGGACTCCAGAATATGTTCAAGACCATTGAGTAAACTTAGAGGGGTGAAAGCACTGGGCTGTAGCTAAGGGATAGTGTGTGCTACACTGGGAAGTGGGGGGACGAGCTTGTATTCTCTTCTCTCACCTTCCAGAAACAGGGTGCTCTGCGAAGCTCAAGGGTGATGATCCCAGTGAGGAGACCCTGAGTGGTGAGAAGGGGGACATGTGAGCTCTTGTCAGACAGGGGTCCCCCGGGATCTTCCTCTCACTCCTTGTGGGTCTCACCGAGGCTCCAGGCCAGAGCGGCAGTGCTGTGGCCATGTGACAGGCAGAGCTCAAGCAGGCCACTGAGATCGTGAAGGGCACCGTGGCTATGGCCAGCCAGAGCTGGCTCACCTGGAGGCCAGAGTTGGGGAATTAGAGGGGACGGGCTGATTCTCTTTCCCCACAATGTTTTCACCTTTAGATACCAGTAGTTGGGATAAAAGGAAGGTTAAAAAAAAAGGGGGCTGTTAAAGAAGTGAAATTTAAAAATTAGATGCTATTTTTTCCTTCTGCCTCATTTTATAGTTTACTCACCTTTGCGTAGGTACGGCAAGCTACTTGGAAGGGTTTTACCTTGTTCATTTCTACATCCCCTCCTGGCCCCGCACCCCCAGCCTAGCAGAGTTTCTGGCACAGGGTATGTATTCACTGAATTGAACTGGCCAAAACCTGAATCAGGGCAACCTGGCCTCACCGCCACCACCAGTAGGTATCCACTTTGCCTGTGTCTTGCCCAGTGCTGTAGCTTTTCCAGACGAAGACTGGGCCTCTCCTGCCTCGCCAGATCCACACTGTGGTCCATGGTTCCCTTGCCGCTAAGGACGGTGCTTCCTGGATTGGAAAAACTCATTATGGGGCCATTCAGGAAATACAACCTCACTCTCGTTTACCCCTCTGCCAACTCCCAATTCAGAGTTGAGGCCCAGCACGTTACACCTACCTAGTCTGAAGCAGCCACTCCAGAGGGTTGGAACTCAGCTGGTAGCTCAGTGCAGACAAAATTTCCTGGCACGTAGTCTGTCAGAGCTGAGGTGTGGTGGGGCAAAGATCACTACGAGGTCCTAAGGATCCAAGGAGTGGCCACGCAGGCATCACCCTCAGTTCACCCCTCAAGCCACCAAGGCCTGCCTCCCTTTCCCCACTTCCTGTTGTCCTAGTTTCCCCCATCTTCTTCATCTTACTTCATCCCTATGTACAGAATCACCCTAGACCTCAGTCTCCCCTTATGTCCATCTTCTCTTTGTTCTTTGGCTCATCACTCCTCAAATTACCTGCTCTGCCCTAGTGAGATTATCTGGATTGCTGCTCCTGGACCAGTTTGCGTTCCCCTGCCTTTTCTGGAAGGTGTCTCCTTCCTCCTTACCGCTTTTTCAAAGGCGGCTCTGGGGATCCCGGGGCTCTGTCAATGCTAGGCAAGCACTCTACCACCGAGCTCAGTCTCCAGCCCTTGCTCCTTTCTTTCTTGAGAACTTTTTTAAAAATTGGACATTGATTGATTGATTAATTGGAGGGCAAGCCCTGTACATAGTGCAAGATTGTTCTGACTCAGTGAACAACACTGTGGTGCCCAAATGTTCAGTCTTGAAAAGGATACTGTACCTATGTTTTTGAGAAAGATTCCCGTAGCCTGGGCTAGAATCTTGGTTCTGATACTTTTCCAGGTTGATGACCTTGGCTACATCATTGTGACATTATTTTACCTATTTGAACTCCAGTTTATTCCCTGACAAGGCAGAATTAACAACAGTATGCCCCTGAAGGGTAGCTGATGCCCCAGGGTGGGAAGAGGCACCATTGTTGGTGCTGAGGTCATACAGATGGGCTTGCGGTCCATATTCTGTATGGCTTACTCAGAAGCCAAGGTGAGAACATGTATTTCCACAGTAAGAGAACCAGATCAAATATAGGAAAGAGCTGTGGTCTCGAGATGAGACTACCTGTGCTGTGTCCCTGATCGTTCTGGCTGACCTCAGTCAAGTTGCCTAATCTACTTCCTTATCTATAAAGAGAAATTAATAATACCAACCTCATGGGGTTGCCTGGAGCACTAAGAGAAAATGCATATGAATTAGTTAGCCCAGCACATACCGCATAAAGAGGTGGCTATTATTTATAATCACCGAAAATAAAAGAAACGGAGCCAGAAGATGCCTGGGAGTTGAGGCCCAGGAGGAAGGGAAAAGTGGCTTTCTCCTGCCCTACTCACTGGGGCGCTGTATCCACACTGCCTTCCTGGGCACCCTGAATCGCAGCTTAAAGGGAACCAGACATCTGTTTGTGCCTGGTTCCTCTCTTTTCAATCACCTAGAGAGCTGACTTTATTTAATGGCAAGGTTGAGATGTAGGCCTTGCGGTGAGGATCCCTGAATTTGCAGGCCAGTGGAAGGAGAGACCTCGAGCATCTTTTTCTTACCTGTAAATGGGAGTTTTTATTAGAGGATTACTGGAAAGATCTCATGCTGCTAAATACGTGAACAAGCATCGTGTAAATATTGACTAAATCTGAATATGCCACTTAGAAGTGTACAGTAACTGTTTGGGCTATAATCGCGTCGGGAGAAAGTATCACATCCCCCTCTTCTCTGCATCTCCCCCAGGGTTGAGCACAGCGCCGGTGCTTGGTAAGCACTCAGTAAATATTGTTGCATTGAAGAGCCATTAAAGTGTCTTAAAGAACGGAAAACAGAATTCGCGAAGCGGCAGCGAGAAGTGTTTATCCAGAACGGCAAAGACGGAAGAGTAACTTTAATAATGTTTCTTGTACGGCAGACATTAACTATCTCTATAATCGCCCCTCCTCCTCTCCCAAAAGAGAGACAAATTGTAAGGGAGAGGCTTTGAGATAAAACCCCAGGAAGAACTTCCCGAGCCTGTGCATGTTGGGGCAGAAGCAGCGACAGAGCCAACTCCTTCCCTGGTATGTCCGGGTCTAGGGTGGGAGGGGCAGTCCCGCTTGGAGGCTGGGGGAAGGACAAGATGACCTTTCACTATCTCCTCCAGTCCCCTCGAGGAACGGTCTGCGCGCCCCACCCCGCCCCCTCCTCCTCGCGCGACGCCCCCGACCCCCCCCCAGGCCCGCACCCCCTGGCGGCCGCCTCCTGCCGCTCTGGGGGTCCCCCGGCCCCGGAGCCCGAGCGCTCAGCCCGCCGCGCCGCGCCGCCCCCCGCATGCTAATGGCCGGGCCGCCTCCCGCCGTACACAATGCGGGCCGGGCCGGGGGCGGAGGGCCGGGGAGGGGCGGGGGCCGGGCCGGGGGCGGGGGGGCCGGGGCCCGGCGCATCTCCCCCGGCCCCACGTAACGCTGACGCCCGCGCCGCCGGCCCGCCGCCGCCGCCGCCCGCGCCGCCGCCCGCCGGGGCTCGTGAGTAGCCGCTCCCCCCGCGCCCCCCCGCCGCCGCCCTCCCCGCCCCTCCCGGAGGGGGCGCGCGCGGAGCAGGTGCAGGGGGCGGGGGCGGGGGAGGGGCGCCGCGCGGCCCCGGCAAACTTCGCCCGCAGCTCCGGGGGGCGGGGTGGGGGCGGCGGGGCCGGCGTGAGAGTTGGGGGGGTCCGGGGGAGGGGGCCAGGTGGGGGAGCCGGGAGCCGGGCACGGAGGGGAGGCCGCGGCGCGGGGCGGCGCGGGGCGGGGGCGCGCGGCTTTGTAGGGGCCGTGAGGCCGGGCTCGGAGGCCTGGGGTGCGGGGGGGGGGGGGTGAGGGTGCGCGGTGGGGGAGCGGTGAGCGGGGTGCTCCCCCGGCCCAGGTGCAGCGGGTGGGGGTGGGGGACGGAGCCCTAACTCCCCGGGACCGGGCTGGGCACGGGGGGGGAGGGGAGGGGAGAGGATGGGGGTGCTTCTCTCTGTGTCCCAAACAAAGTGTCACAAAGAGCTCGGCCCGCGGCAGCCGCGGAGGCGGCTGTAACTCTGCTTTTGTTCTCCTGGCCCGGGGTAGCTGAGCTCTGGCCTCCCTATGTCCCAACCCTGCCCCCATCGTCCTCCTGGATTATTTTCCGCGGGTGGAGTGTGGGGTGTGCCGGTGGAGCCCCTCGTGCGAGAGCACAGGTCCTGCTCTGCCTACCAGTTTTCGAGAGGGATATTCTCCCAGAGGGTCTCCCACCCACCTCCCAGCCTGAGAACTCAGGCTCTTACAGGCACTAACACTGACTTTTTTAAGGGCCAGCTCTAGTTAGAGGGATTTAAGGCTGTAGATATGCCGTCTGTCTCCCACCCCCCTCTGCCCCAGCCCGGGCTCCTCAGAACTTTCAGAATCGGGGTCAAGTTAGGACATGCTAGAACTTGGGTCTGGGAGAAGATTGTGTGCGGGGGTTGTGCCTCCCTCTCACCTCTCGATAGTTATTTGGGAGCCCATGACTGAAATTTCATGCCCCCCTATCCCTTTTCCAAGAACTCTAAAAGGTGTCGAGGTTCAGTGTAGTGTGTATTTGAAGCAGCTTTCAGAGCAGTGGGGTTCAGAGAGCCACGGAGAGAACGTAAAGTGAGTTGTTGGTCTGTGTGTGTTCTCCGGGTGGTCCTGACTCCGCACAGTCTAATAGCCCCCTTTCGATTTAATCTCATCTGTCGAAGTGGCTCATATTCATTAGCTGATTTAGGAGAGGGGAAATTGCTGACAAGGAAAAAAATTCATGTGTTGGGGATGACCAGGGGCAGAGGCCTACTTACAGCTAGGCCCCAGAGACCCTAATCCTTTGCTACTGAACACTTGACCTTAAAACATTTTGAGTCACAAGATTTGGGGTGGGAGAATCTTCTTGGTCCTTGATTTAGCTGATTCTTCTGTAAGTCTCTCACCACCATCCTCCGTAGGATTTGGGGGTCCTACCTTTCCGCATCAGCTCTCCTAGCGTGTAAAAGTAATTGGCCTGTTGCTTTGGAAATACTTCTCATGCGTACCGCAGGTCCTGCATCCTGCAAAGATACACACAGGAGCAAGATAACCCCTGATTCCCCCTGGGTCTGGAAAGTAGGTCACTGCTACTCCCTGGCCCGGGCTCAGGGGTGGTGTTTAAGCCTTGAGTGTAGAAAAATGCGAGGCTTGTCCACAGACAATACATGTCTGACTTAGGTTGCAAACCAGGTCACACTCTGTCTCTGTTGGTGCCCTCCCCTATCGAGAGCAATTTATGAGATCCGGTGCCTGAGACCTGGTTTGATGGAGATGACGGAAGCCATCTTGACTGGGCCTCGGAGGTCTCGGTGGATTTTACTGATTTCAGGCCACCTTCTGGGAAACTTCCCCTGAGGAGAAATTCAACTTCCATCTGGGCCTTCTTGTGTGCCACTGCTCCATCCTGGGAACTGCTTCCCATCCTGGGAACTGCTACTGCAGTGTGGTTGGTGTTGCTCAGGGGAGGAGGAGGAAGCTGTGCCCTGCTTCTGCTCCTTTTGCCTCAGATATAAGCCGTTTTCCTAGGAGACATTTTGTTTAGTGTTTTACAGGCATTATTCTAGGGCCTAGTGTCTTCTCAGGATCAGAATATGCGCCCATAGGTTAGTCAGCTATGACCATGCAATATTCACACACACACACACACACACACACACACACCCTCCCAGCCATCTGCTTCCTCTGAATATACCAGATTGGCTGTACACCAGGATGTTCCGGGAATCCCCAGGAAAGCAACAGAATGTGATGGACTCAAATACGATACCTCAGTAACCCATTCCAGGATGTACAAACTGTAACTGTTATGACAGTCTGTATAGCTAATTAAAATTTTTCTAGGTATGTGCATTTTCTATTCTATTTTCAGTGGCATCCAAAAGGCCACAGTAATTCCCCTGATACCTCTCCATGGTTTCTCTGATACTCCATACTTCCCAAATAGGATTTTTTTTCTCATCCACTAGTTTCTGTGTCCTCTCTTTGGTGGGCACACTGCCTCTCTAACACGGCCCAGTTGTGTCTGTGATTCTGAGGTGGCCAAAGTGGTGTCTCTGGTAGCCCACTGCACTCTCCATGGTACTGAAGGAGTGGCTATTTGTTTTAACATTTCTTGGGGGCCAGAAGAGTGTTGTGACTTAAAACCACACAACTTTCAAGTTGGCAGGGACTACAAATGTAAATTTATTGTAATTCATCTCATAGACGG